CAGGAGGACGACGACGCCTACGAGAGCTACCAGGTGCCGGAGGACAACCTCAAGAGACTCCTGCACGAGGACATCATGCCGGCGCGCATGCTCAGCTCCGAGGACCTCCTGGAGGAATACAAAGAACAATCCAACAACAACATCAACATGTCGTCTGTCGGCGTTCAGACGGACGCCCTGCCGAAGGCGCCGTCGAGGTCCCGCAAGACACACAAGAGCTCCTCTCCCTCGCCGACGCGGCAGCACCAGTCGCAGCAGAAGCAGTACCAGGTGAAGACGCAGCACATCAAGAACGAGCAGAAGCACCACCAGAACTACCATTACGAGCGGGAGCCGGACCATTACCCGGGCTCGAAGCACCACCAGCGGGGAGGCAACATCCACAACAACCTGACGTCGGCGACGCTGGTGCGGCAGGTGAACCACGGCTTCGGGCGCACGGACCGCTCGCCCTCGCCGCCGCTCAGGAGGCCGCAGACCCGCCAGCCGCGCCGGAACGTGGTGCCGCTGCTCTCAGACACGTCCGACTCCGAGGCCGAGCACCGGCGGCGCACGGTCGACCCGCTGGCCCGAATCCGAGACCAGGTGATGCAGCGGGAGAAGCTGCAGGAGGAGGAGGAGGAGGAGGAGGAGGCGAGGAACGGCCGCATTGGGATCAAGGAGAGCGGCGTCATCCCGTACCGGCCGGAGGAGATGATGCCGCTTACCATCGACGAAGTGGACGCCCTCAGCCTCGTCATGGAGGACACCGGCAAGAAGTCGCTCGTGGTGTCCAACCAGTCGCAGTCCACGTCCGTGACGCGCACCACCAACCACCGCTCGCGGCGCAACGAGACCGTGACGGAGCGCGTCCACTCGCAGCCGCACAAGGACAGCCTGCCGCGGCCGCAGAAGCCCCCGCGCGAGAAGAACCACGCCATCCGCGAGCCGACGCCCACGAGGGGGCACAGGGAGCAGACGCCGACCCGGGGCCACAGGGAAACAACGCCCACGCGCGGACATCGGGAGCCCACGCCAACTCGCGGACACAGAGAAACCACGCCCACGCGCGGACACAGAGAAGGTACGCCCACGCGCCTGCCCAGGGAGGCGACGCCCACGCGCGGACACAGGGAGACCACGCCCACCCGTGCCCACAGGGAGGGCACTTCGTCCCGCCCCCGAGACCAGCGCAAAGATCCGCCCACGATGGAGAGGAACAGGAAGAACAACTTGGAGAAGGAGCGCGCGGCGAAGGCGTCGAAGCAGAAGGAGGAGAAGAAAGAGAAGAAGAAGAAGCGAATCAAGATCAAGTTCTTCTACGACCCGCGCCCGCAGGACGAGCCCGACGTGGACCCGCTGGCCAAGTTCACGGAGTTCCGCGGCTCCTCGACCGACGACGAGCGGCGCCAGGACGACGCCAAGGACGAGTTCCGCCACGAGCGGACGCAGCGCGACGAGTACCACCGCAGCGAGCAGAAGGAGGTGCGGGAGGACAGCCGCCCCCGCCGCGGTCTGCCCGATGTCCTGGAGGACACCACCTCCCTCAGGGACCGGCGAGGCTCCCGCGAGCAGCTGAACCGGTCGCGCGAGCAGCTGAGCAAGTCCCGCGAGCAGCTGGCCCGGTCGCGCGAGCGGCTGGACCGATCTCGCGAGCAGCTGGACCGGTCGCGCGAGCGGCTGGACACGACGCCGCGGCAGGTGCGCCACAGCAGCAGGGACGTCCGCGAGACCAAGACGAGGGAGGTGTCCGTGGACGCCCACAACGGCTACGGCACGAAGCGCCGCGACTCCAAGGACTCCCGAGACTCCCGCGACAACCGCAACCGCGAGGCCGCGCGCTCGCGCTCCCGAGACGACCTGGCGGCCTACGACGAGTCGCCGGACGAGCGCCGCGACGACCACGACGACCAGCATCCCGACGGCGACTACGACGACGAGAACGACGAGCGAGGCTCGCCCGACGGCAGGCCCGGGAGGAGCCTCAGCGACAAGTACCGCAGCGGCCCGCTCTACGACCCGCCCGCGCCCGGGGACCAGCCGCCCGCGGAGCTCATTCCGCACACGGAGGTAAGAGCGGCGGGGTAGAAACATGAATAGATAGAAAAATAGCAAATCATTGAAATCCACGAAACAAGTACAGGGACAGAGATAAACAGAGACACACACACATACACACAGACACACAAACACACAGATAAGCAGATAAAATGATAGACGGACAAGGAGACAGATACAGCTATAGGCATGCATACATACATACATATATATAGACAGATAGATATAGGTATAGGTATTAATCTAGAAATAGATACAGGTATAGATATGGATATATATATATATATATATATATATATATATATATATATATATATATATATATATATATATATATATATATAGTTATAAATATAGCGATAGATGTAAATATAATCTAGATAGATATAAGAACTTTGAGGTAAATAGTTATCGATATAACCAATGAATCAGTGTGTGTGTGTGTGTATGTGTGTGTGTGTGTGTGTGTGTGTGTGTGTGTGTGTGTGTGTGTGTGTGACTGAGTGAGTGAGTGAATGAATGAATGAATGAATGAGTAAAAGAGTGAATTACGTGCGTACATCCACCCCTCCTCACCCCTCTCCACCCTCCTCCTCACCCCCTCACCCCTCCCCCCTCCTCCCCACCCATTCCCACCCCCCTCCTCAACCCCTACTAACCCCCTTCCCCCACCAACAGGACGAAGAGAAGCAGGAGAAGATCATGAGGCAGAGGAAAAAGTTCTTCTCCGTCCTGATGAGCGACGGACGCAACAAGCCAGGCAAAACAAAGACACCGGAACAAGGAACAAAGACATTGAAGACGAGCAAGAAACCCCCCGCGCCGCAGCCTACCCCCCCGCCCAACGCCAGCCCGGATAAGGCCAAGAATCAGGTGAGAAAAGAGGGGAGGGAAAGGGAGGGAGGGAGAGAGGGGAGAGGTGAGAAGAGAGGGGAGGGAAAGGGAGGGAGGGAGAGAGGGGAGAGGGGAGGAGGGTGGGATGGGGAGGGAAAGGGAGGGTGGGATGGGGAGGGGGAAGGAAGGAGGGAAAGGAAGGAGGGAAGGGAAGAGGGGACGGGAGGGGAAGAGGGTGGGATGGGGAGGGGAAGGGGAGGAGGGAGGGGAAGAAGGGGATAGAGAGAGGGAGAGGGGAGTGGAAGGGAGAGGGAGGGAGGAGGAAAGAAGAGAGGGAAAGGAGTAGAAGGGAGAGTAAGGGAGGAGGAGGAAGAAGGGAGGGATGAAGGGAAAAGGGAGGGAGGAAAGAGGTCGAGAAAGGGAGGGAAAGAGGGGAGGGAGAGAGAGGTGAAGAGAGTGATGAGAAAAGGGAGAGAGGAAGGGAGAGAGGGAAGAGAGGGAGGGAGAGAAAGAAGAAGAGAGGGAAGGAAAGAGGGAGAGAGGGGATGGAAGAAGAGAGGGATGGGATGGACGAGAGGAGAGATAGAAGGAGAGACAGAAGAGAAGGAAGAAAGAGGAAGGGAGGAGAAGGGTGGGATGGAAATGAGGAAAAAGAGAAGAGAGAATAGAGAAAGGGAGAAGAGAGAGAAGAATCAGGAAGAAGGGAAAAGGGTGGGATGAAAGAGAGGAAAGAGAGAGAAAAAAGAGACAGAGGGGAGAATAAAGAAATAAAAAGAAAAAGGGAAGAAGAGTAGATAGAGATAATTATTTTTTTTTCTTTTAATGAAATTGGCGTCTTTAAAATCTGCACGCTATTTTGCTTTGTAGTTTTATATAGAGATAAAGATAATTAATAAATATTGGCTTTAATGGGGGAAAAATATTATAAAAAATTTATACTATGTTTCTTTAAGGTAAGTTCACGATAAGGCAGTGGTGGATCTAAAGAAAAAGAAAAATATTAATACAAACAAATATAATGAAACAAAGAGAGTAATCAATATAGATAAATAAATAATACTGTTGTATTATCATTATTATTATTATCATCATCATTATCATTATTATTATTATTATCATTATTATTATCATTATTATTATTATTATTATCATTATTATTATTATCATTATTATTATTATCATTATTATTATCATTATTATTATTATCATTATTATTATTATTATCATTATTATTATCATTATTATTATTATTATTATTATCATTATTATTATTATCATTATTATTATCATTATTATTATCATTATTATTATTATCATTATTATTATTATCATTATTATTATTATTATCATTATTATTATTATCATTATTATTATTATTATTATTATTATTATTATTATCATTATTATTATTATTATCATTATTATTATCATTATTATTATTATTATTATTATCATTATTATTATTATTATCATTATTATTATCATTATTATTATCATTATTATTATTATTATCATTATTATTATTATTATCATTATTATTATTATTATTATTATCATTATTATTATATAATCACCACTGTTATTATTGTTATTGTTTTTGCAGTCATCTTTATTGTTGTTGTTGATGTTATTGTTATCATTATTATCATTGTTAATATTATAATCATTATTATTATTATTATTATTATTATTATTATTATTATTATTATTATCATTATTATTATTATCATTATTATTATCATCGATTTAGATCCGCCCCTGCATTAGGGTGAATAAAATAACTGAATAAACACTTTTAAAAAATTAAGTAGAAAAAAAATAGATTGATATACTTTTACTGATTTTAAGTTATATATCATATTAAGATTTGAGTTTTTGTATTCTTAAATATAAGGTTGATTATACTTTTCATGCCTATTAATGTTATATACTATTAATTTTCCAGTGTTTTTCGTTACATTTCGTAGAAAAAAATAATATATAGATATGAGGATTTAGTTAAATTTATGGTATCAGTAAATTTATTGGAGGTACAGTACCACAATACCCTGAACCATTATAGTCTCAATTGTGGTTGGTACCTGCAGTTCTTCATAATCTGTCCTTCCTTCTCATTACTCTATGCGATTCATTTATCTATCATATATCATATATCTGAAGAAAAAATAGAAACATATATATATGGTAAATATGATGTATTTTCTGTGTTATATGTATAATTCATACATTGTTTACAAAAACATAGGGATCAGTCAGAGTATTCTAAAGTCATTTTAAAAAGTACAACCCCCCCTTTCTGTAATGTAATGACTTGACCCCCCCCCCATCCATCCCCTCAACGCCCCTTTCCCCTCCCCCTCCCCCCCTTTCTGTCCTGTTTCCAATCCTGTGCATGATGACCGCATGATGACTATGGCTAACCGCATGTCGGGCTCCTCACCAATGTTGAGGTCACGTGATCCTTATATAAAGAAAAAAATAGAAAAAGAAAATGAATGGATTTCAGGTATCCGAGACTCAGAGCTCATGAGCTTTTCTTGTAATGAGGAAGAATGGAGACTTAGAATGTAAAGTGTAGAACATAGGATGTATATGCATATGCATACGCACTCACACACACACACAGACACACACACACACACACACACACACACACACACACACACACACACACACACACACACACACACACACACACACACGCACACACACACACACACACACACACACACACACACACACACACACACACACACACACACACACACACACACACATATATATATATATATATATATACATGAGATCAGTTTATATCGTCCTATGATTCACGGATTTTATTAGTAATACTTATACCATAGACATTGCCTAGGACTATGTGCATTTCCCATTCCCTATTTCGTCCAGTACCATCAGAGACAGTAAAAGTTATGCAGTTGTTGCTAAATAAAAAAATAGATTTTTTCTATTTTGCAATATGGTCCAATACTGTAATTATGTTATGGTATAGTGTCCTCTTGGTTTAAAGATTATATTGCATTGCGCCATAATCAAAATCATTATGAAGTGCAAGCAGTCAGTGCTCTATTTTGCTCAGTCATGCTCTCGAGGATTTGTTTTGGAACAATTGTCCCTTGGATATCTGTCTCTCGGATATTAGTCCCTGGGAGATTCGTCCCCTGGATTTTTTACATTCCTCGGATACCTGGAATCCCTAAGCGCGAGCAGGAGGATCCGTGGCCCCGAAGGACACTTTCCTGACATGTGGCGGCGGTGCGTCCCTCTCCCTCGTTCCTCCTTGCGCCCTGACCGCTAACACAGCACCACGTTCCTCCAGACTCCCGCAAAGAAGAAGCCAGCAAAGAAGAAGCGTGCGTGGCCGTGGGCATTTCTGGGGCTGCGGGGGGGCGGGGGGCGGGGGGCGACTCGGGCGGCACCCCCGGGTCCTGGCTCGTCTCGCATCGGGTCCTCGCGGATGTCGTCCAGGGCCTCCTCCCGCGCCTCCTCCCGCAGTTCCCACCGCCCGCGACGTCCCAGTGTGCGAGCCTCCAAGATCCGCCGTGAAGTGAGTCCCTTCGCCCACCTGCCCTTCCTTACTACACCCACGCTGCCTCGCGTCCTCACGCCCTCACGCCCTCACGCCCTCATTCCCTCATTCCCTGCTCTTCCTCTCACACACACGCTCTTGGCTTTACCATACTCCCCGCCCCTGCGCTTTCTTCCGTCTTCTGCCTTGACTCTGATTTGCTTTTCCAGGATCACATCACCTGCCTCTTTCTTGTCCTTTTGAGCTTTCCCTTCGTGATTGGACGCCACACCTCACTGCTTGGATCTCAGACACGTGTTCCTCCCACAAACTCGTACATGATGCTTTCGCTTCCGGTGCTTGCCCAGTCTCTCTTTTCCTTCATTTTTTTTCAGCTTCTCGGAGTGGCACGCTAACCTCGCGGGGCCAGTTAGTAGTGGCTGAGTATTAGTGGCTTGTCTAGAACGCTGTAGGCAGTGCACGCGAGCTGAGGCGTGAGCGCCCACCACAACGACAAGGAAACCTGACATAGGCACATTCTCACGCACACACACAGGCCCACATATGCCCGTTACAGTACTAATGGTGATGATAACAGGTGTAGTGCGGTTGTGGTATAACAGGTAAGCTGAACCAGAGATGTAACCCTTCTGACGCCATCCTCTTGCAGGGCCAACCGCTGTGGTTCAACCGCGAGCGCGACGAGGAGGCGGCGGGACCAGCCGCGCCGCCGCAGTGGGAGAGCTCGACGCTCAACCGCGCGGAGCTGCGCGCCAAGAAGGACGCTCGCCAGGGGGACAACAGCGGCTTCTCGACAGTGCAGCGCCCGAACACGGGGCGCAAGTACTCAGCAGAGTCCTCGGCGTCCTCCGAGGCGCCCCCGCCGCGGGTGGCCCGCACGACCAGCTTCAAGCACCGCTACTTCGGCGACACGGACATCGAAAGCAGCCACGGCGTCGGCGCCGGCCCCAGCGTGCCTGACTACCGCAGCCTCCCCAACCGGTCGTCGCGGTCCGCCCACCGGAACGCGGGCAAGGGCAAGAGGGCCACGAGCGGACCGCGGGGCGTGTCGCCGCCCTCGGGGGTCGCGGGGTCGGCCGGCAGCTCCCTGCAGAGCAGCGAGAGCGAGGTGGACAGCCACGGCGGCTCGCACGCGTCCCGCGCGTCCAAGGCCTCGCGCGTGTCCACGGGCTCCAACCGGTCCGTGTACCTGCACGCCACGGCCGTCGCCGACATCCCGGTGCGGCGCGCGTCCGAGGAGGTGCCGAGCGAGCGCGGCGTCAACCGCCAGACCAAGAAGGTGTCGCGCTCCTTCTCGCTGCTGGCGCCCTGGAAGCCCAGGCACTACCGCGAGAAGTACGAGGTGGAGTACGACAACCGCGAGGCGCGCGAGGCCCGCGGTGAGGCCAACAACAGCAAGGGCGCGCTGCCCCCCCGGCCCCCGCGGCGCCCCGCCAACGAGGCCCCCGACAGCAAGAAGGTCAACCGATCCCAGAGCATGTACAAGGACTCCCGCCTGGCCGGCTGGCTCAGGCGCCGCAGGAACAAGGAGGCCAAGGGCATCTGACGTCAGCCGACTCTCGAGGAGGACTCGGAGTACCTATGAGCCGCCGCGCGCCACAGCCTCCACAGCATTCCTCGGGCGTCCCGGCTGGGCCGTCGGTCCCGGGGCTGCCGACGGCGGTGCCCCGTCCCGGCCGCCGGCCCTCACGTCACCAAACTTTGACTTCCAAGTCGCATGCCATAACTCTCAGCCATGTGTCCTTAAATTTATATATATATATATATATATATATATATATATATATATATATATATATATATATATATATATATATATATATATATATATACATGCTCATACTCATTAACACAGATGCTGTTATAATATTGCAAATAGGCTTGATTCGTCAGTAATGTTCACTTGCAGCTTTATGTAAATATGTGTCTCTAACATGCTACAGCTCTGTCCTGTTATATAACTACTGCGAGTTATACTACAGGATTCAAAAGGTTTGCTCTCGAGACGCGGTCCATTAGTCGATGCCAGTATACACGGGGAAATGGGGGTCTTCAAAGGAATCTCGTCCTTACGACCCCCGTATACAATGGCGGTAGTGGAGGGCCGAGTCTTAAAATGCTGTTACAGAAGACTGGACTAGCAACACAGATTCCCTTTTTTTGAGGAATGTCGTGGAGTTTGCTGAAAGGAAGGAGTCGTGACGCCGCGTGCGTGTGCTGCCGAGGGAGGGCGAAAACGGCGCTTTCGTTTTGTCTATTGTTTTTTTTTTTCTTTTTTTTTTTTTGGTGCGTTTTTTCATGCTATTCAAAATGGCTCTATGTCGGTTATATTTTTTGTGCGACAGATGTTTTGGGATACGCTTTTTGAAAGATTTTTTTTAATGATTATTATGATCACTTTTCTTTTCTAAATTCGATGTATTTGTGTGTGCTGTGTAAGACATGAAATATTCTTACACGATGATGTCTGTGGAAAAAAATATATATTTGGTGTTCTTAAAGATATATGAATATATATATATGATAAGTGACAGTGACAATCGGTGGATCTTTTCTAAGTTTTACAAAAGAACTTTTTAAAAGGTACTACGTTTTTTCAGACAAAGGATAATTTTTACGTCGCAGAAAAGTGATTTTATCGATTTGAAAACAGACAGTGAAAAAAATAGATCGACGTTCTATGGAAAATAAGGAACACGAAATATTTTCTATATATTTTTTTTCTTTCTAATGTTGGACCTTGCAGAATCCAAGAAACGATATAAAGAATAAGTTTAAGACAAAAGAAAATGGCTCAGTGGGCCATCTTACACTGCAGAAAATGGTGCTGAAGGAGATATATATGAAGTAATTTGCTTTGCGGTTCCAGTGTTGTTTTTTTATATATAGAGAGAGATACATATAAATATTTTTTTAAGTGAGCTTCTTGCCATGAATGCATCTCGAGCTTGTATGCCCTTTTAACCTAAATCAAATATAGGTTATTGAGGGTAAATTGGGGAAAAAAATCATAACATTCCCTTCTATAAAATGTGTTTGTAAACCTTTCGTACAAGTTTTTTGTACTGAAGAAATAAGGAAATCCATTAGCAAGTTGAGACCAAGTTATGTACTGACTCATATATTTCTTTTTCATTATAATTATTCACATTATTTTCTGACACCCTCCTATTACCAATTTTATCATTTATTCTCTCCCATCTCCCCCTTGGTTTCATATTGTTCTTATTATTTCTCTCTTATACATATATAGAATTCCATCCATTTTCATTAGTGTGAATACTGACTTAGTCCGATATATGTGTTGCCATATGAATCAGGTAAAAAAAGGAACGGAATATATGGAGAAAAATTTAAAAACACATTGACGAGATTAACCAAAAATAATCGATGTCCCTGTTTCTCCATTATAGTCCGACATCCTATCTATCTGACAAAACCATCGTGTATATTTAAGATTTATTACTAAAGATATAATCAAAAAGATGTATAATTGATTCGTGGATTCTTTTTTTTTTTAAGAAAGGATATATATATAAGAATAAGAAGATACATATAGATTTTTTTTTTATATCATTCACT